GCCCTGCACGCGCTCAGCCTGCGCCGCCTCGCCCAGTCCTCGGCCCCGTCGGGGTGCGAGCCCGCCGCGCTCGGCCGCTCCCAGGTGCGGGACGCCCCTGCAGGCCCGAGGGGCCGGCCCCTTCCCCTCCCAGGGCTGGCGAGTCTGCCTGGGCTCCTGGGAAACAAATGTCCCAGCTCGCGCCCGGCTCTGACGTGAACTCGGTTCGTGAACGTTGCACGCGGCGCTCTCGAAGGACCCTGCCCGGCTGCGCGGTGTTTCGTTGGGGCGCCGAGTTTTAACTCCCCGCTTCCCTTCCCAGACGCTGGTCTGCATCAACCCGCCCCTCTTCGATGTCTTTCAAACGCTGCTCAGCCCCACGCAGCACCATGTGGCTCTTGTCGGCCCCAAGGGAATGATGGTCCTGGAGCTGCCCAAGCGCTGGGGGAAGAACTCTGAATTTGAAGGGGGGAAAGCCACGGTCAACTGCAGGTAGGCGACGCTTTCAGTGCGGGACGCCCCGGCTGTCCTGGTGCCTTTCACGTGTAGAGCAGCCGACATGGGAGCAGAGTGCGATAGAGCTGGAGTGTGCGGGAGAGCTCGGCGCGACCCCGGCGTGAGGGGGATACAGCACATGCTCTGAGCTGAGCTGAAAGCCCATTGGGGTACTGAGAAATGAGCCTCCACAAATGCAACAGAGACCCACCCACTAAAGCTTCGTAGTTTTCTCTTTGGACGCAGTAGTAGTAGTGGGGATGAGATCCTATTTCTAATGGGCATGGTATTTGAATCACAAAGCGATGTAGGAGAATCGCTGTACTGTATTGGAGCAGCAGTCCCTCTTATCTGCCATCTCAGGGTAGCCGATAAAAGGGACTGCAGTCCAGCGAAATAAAAGTCGAAGACCTGAGCTACTTGGCCTCTCAGGTAAATTCACTGACAAATTGCGTATTTGTTGAATCCAGTTTAACCTGGTCTGATATTGGTCAGGTCAGTGAGCAGTGCAAGAGAATTTGCTAGAGATAGTTATGTCCCCAGGGAAAATTTCTTGTGACGTAGGATGATGGACCAAATGCCGCAAATCCCATTTGCTACTTGTTGGTAATCTTAACACCCACACAGACATAAACAAGCATCTCTTAATGCCTTGGAGACAACCAGAGGGGAAACTTACCCATTGTCTTGGTAGGCTGATTTCTTTTTGGCAGAAAACAAAGCACTTTATCATGAGCAAATGAATTAGAACTTCACCATTCACTAGGACCAAACTTGCTCTGTAAGAGCAGAGGAGGAAAATCCCAGGCCCTTCACGTATTTGTGTGGAGGCTGTGAAACAGGTTGTCACTCACTGAAACGTTTGCACAGGGGTGTTTTTGTATAGTTGAATCTCTGGGGTACAGCTCTGCTGCTGCTGTTTTCTTAGCTGACCGGTTGAGTTGTTTCTGGCTGGTAATTCTTTTGGGAGGTTAAAATGTCGCTTCTACCTGTGTTTTGTGATCCTGATAGCATGATGGCGTACATTGTTTTAATTATCATATCACACATTCTTTGAAACCCTTCTGGTCATGGTTAGTACAAAACACATGGCCACTCCACTCCTGATCAGTAAATGGGTACATGGGTATACACCCTTTGCTTCTGACGTGCACAGTCTTTCTCTGCTCTCAGTCAGAATTTCGTTTCCTCAAGGTGTGCAAGGACAGGCTGTCTCTTTTTTTTGGAGTAAAAGCTGCAAACAATTGCATCTAGTTGAAGATTTCAGGGTCTAGTACCCTGGGTTTTTCCTTCAGACCTTCCCTGTTCTATTTGTGCAATTGCTTTTTAATCTTCACCTCTGGGTGGTGAATACGTGGGCAGGAATAGATTAAACCAACATCTAGTTAGACATTGCTGTCAAATGTACAAATTAACTGGGGGAAAAAAGTCACAGCAACCATTGTTTTCAAACAAAAGTGACAAATGACTGTTGTAGTAGTTCCATCAGCTTTAAATACTACACAGCCAACATCCCATAGGAACTTAAATCAGTCTTCCTTTTCCCCAGGGTAAAAGCCATTTAATTTTTGACTGCTTTTTATACATGTTATAAATGGCTGTTTTTTATTACAGCACCGTTCCTATTGCTGAAAGGTTCTTCACTAGCTCAGCATCCCTCACTTTAAAATATGCTGCCTGGTATCCCAGCGAGTCATTGGAGCCTCATGTTGTGCTGTTGACTTCAGATAACACTATAAGGTTAGCTTGTTTCTATTTGTTCTCCCTTTTTTGGCATAAATATACTTACTGGAATTACAGCATAAAAATACAGTGAAAGAAGTTTAACCTGTATTTGCATCAGCAGGGACTTGCATGGAACACTAGTGACCGAATGACCTGTTTGTTCTTTCTTCTAGGATTTATAGTCTGAAAGTGCCTCAGACACCTGTGAAGGTGATTGCTCTTTCAGAGGCTGAGGAGGAGACCTCGGTAGTCAATAAAGGGTATGAACAATTTAACATTCTCTTACCAAGGTATGCTCACCAAGGTACCAAATGGGAAATTGACTGGTGACAGGGTAGTGTAAATACTGTGATGTGGTAACTTAATGCCAGGGCACTTGTTGCCCCCCTCCTGCCATGGCTGATCTCACTTTCCCCTTCCTCTGCTCCATGCTGGCTGGACTCCCACCCCAGCATTCTAGAGCCAGCTGAGGACTGCACTGTCCAGATGCCTGTTTGCAACAAAAGAGGATTTACGTAAAGCAGTACAGCTGAAAACGGGGCCAAGAGAGGCTTCTGGGGAAGAACCTTTTTCTTTACTTGTTTCTGGCCTGGTTGAAGGGACAAAATTTGATGTCCACTGTCTTAAACCATAGATTAGCATCACACTGATGGCACCAAGGCATTCTCACCCTTCTTGAATACTATGCAGATAAGTATTTTGGAGATGAAATGTTACTAGGCACAGGGGAGGAAGATGTTCCTTGAAACAACCAATCAGAGCCTCTGTTTCTAACATGATCCCAGGGGCTCCATTGAGAAGAGCAGAGCGCCTGTGCTGGGGTATCTACTGCGGAAGGGGCACTGTCTGGCAAAGGTCTGATCCAAAAGGCTGAAAGCATAACTGCATTAATCCAACAGGAAGTGCCACTTAATATGAGGGGAAGTGCTTTTGCATGGACAGTCGCTACTGACTATAACTTTGGGTCCATTTGTCTCCCACTTCTAGGAGAGCCTATAGAGCATCACTGGGAGAGACTGCAGTGGCGTTTGATTTTGGGCCAATTACATCTGTTCCAAAGAATGTGGTTGGGCCACGAGGGAAAGAGGAAGTGTTGGCATATCCCTTGTACATATTGTATGAAAATGGGGAGACCTTCCTTACATACGTTAACCTCCTACAAAGGTAGGGTCCAAAAGTCAAATAGAAAACTTTGCTGCTTGGCCTTTATATAGCACTCGTCTGTTTGTACCAGGTCTCATTCAGATTGACTCCAGTTGGGAATGGGTTATCTCCTAGGGCAGCCCAAATTGTGTGGCTGGAATAGCTGGCCTACACACTTGAGTTTGTACAACCATGAAGGTAATAGGTCTAGTTGCTTGGTTGAGGCAGCTACAATAGCTAAGGGATGCAACAGGGTTAAATTTGGGATAAAAAAAAATCAGCTGCTCTAAGTATTAACTCTGTTACAAGTTACACATATTATGTAATTCACTGGTAAATTGCACAATGAATTTAGACGGGCCACATGTGCGAAGTAATTATCATGCCATAAAAATGTCCATCTAACTATAAAAAGAGCCAAACAGTCACAAAGTTAGCGCTTGAAAATGTGACAACTTTATAGCTGGTTTCTCTTCAGTTTTAACTGGAGCATGTGGCAGGGCTCTGACACCTTGGGAAGTTCCAGCCTGTCTTGATGAAGCTGGTGTGCCAGTGCTTCACGGAACCAAAACTCTTTTGTCATCTTTGGGAAGTTGAGCCTGTGTGTCTTTGGAGATGCAAAAATAGAAATTTAGTCTCTATGAAAAAGGTTAAACTGGATTCAACAGATAAGCAGTTTGTCAGTGAATTTACTCAGAGCTATGTAGGGGAAGTAGCTCAGGCCCTTGACTTTCATTTCACTGGACTGCAGGTTGGGTTGCCAGACTTAGAATCGTAAAATAGTAGGGCTGGAAGGGACCTCAGGAGATCAATGAGTCCAACCCTCTGCCCAAGGTATGATCACTCCCGAGTGAAACGACATGGAAAAATGGGTCTGTTCTATTACCTCTTGTGTGTTGATTTTTTTTTTTTTTTTTTTCCAGTTCCCCCAGGGGTTTTTTGGGGGGGGTTTTTTTTTTTCCTCTTTTGTGTTGATTTTTTTTTTTTTTTTTCCAGTTCCTCAGAGGGTTATTGTGGGAGGTATTTGATCTTGCATAGTCACTTACAAAAGTACTCGCATGTCCTCATTTCAGCTCTGGAAACCTTGGTAAGCTGTTGGGTCCACTGCCCATGCACCCGGCAGCTGAAGACAACTATGGCTATGACGCATGTGCTGTTCTCTGCCTGCCCTGTGTGCCCAACATCTTGGTGATCGCTACTGAATCAGGGATGCTCTATCACTGTGTGGTGCTGGAGGGAGAAGAGGACGATGAGCAGACAGTATGGCTTTTTTCCCCCTAATAGCAGGAATGTAGTGCTGGTTTCTCTGGTGTTCTGCTTTCTGTCCCAGGCCCCGGTTGTCAGAAGCCCCTGACGGTCACCTGCAGGGAGGTGGCCGAGTGACATAAATCAAGCAGTGAGTCATCTGTGCCAAGGCGCCTCAGACTTTTGATCCTTTTGTTCTTCAGTGTTTCATAGTAGCTAGGGTCAGGAGGGACCTGATCAGATCATCTAGCCTGACCCCCTGCCATAGGCAGGAATGAGTGCTGGGTTCACAAGACCCCAGACAGGTGATCATCCAACCTCCTTTTGAATTTGCCCAACATAGAGGCGAGGACCACTTCCCTGGGAAGCTGGTTCCAGATTCTGGCCACCCTAACTGTAAAATATTGCCTCCTGATCTCTAACCTAAACTTATTCTCCATCAGCTTATTACCATTGTTCCTCGTCACCCCAGGTCTTCCTATTTGCTGATGATCTCCCCTGATGAGTTTGTAGACAGCCACCAGGCTCCTCTTGCTGAGGTTGAACAGGTGCAGGTCCCTCAGTCTCTCCTCGCAGGGCCTGTCCTGCTGCCTTCGCAACAAACGGGTAGCCCTCCTCTGAACCCTCTCCAGGCTGGCCACATTCTTTTGAAAGTGTGGTGCCCAGTACTGGACGCAGTACTCCAACTGCAGCCCGACCAATGTTGCATAGAGGGGGAGTATCACCTCTCTGGAGAGGCTTGAGATGCATCTTTGGATGCGTGACAAGGTATGGCTGGCCTTGCTGGCTGCAGTCTGGCATTGGTGGCTCATGTTCATCTTGGAGTCAGTAGTGACCCCAAGATCCCTTTCCGCCTCTGTGTTTTCAAGAGGGGAACTCCCCAGCCTGTATGTATGCTCTGGATTCTCTCTCCCAAGGTGCAGCACCCTGCATTTATCTACATTGAACACCATCCTGTTTTCATTTGCCCACTTTTGTAGTCTGTCTAAATCTAGTTGTAGCCTGTCTCTCCCTTCAAGTGTGTCCATCTCGCCCCACATCTTAGTGGCATCAGCAAACTTGGACAATGTGCTTTCAACCTCCTCGTCCAAGTCGCCGATGAAGATGTTAAACAGTGTTACCTAGGAGTCTCTCTGCAGCTGGGGATGTCTATCTGATTCTAAAGGAGAGCTTTAAAGTAAAAATTTTGGGGATGGATGAGGTGGAGAGAGGAACATCTTGGCTTCAAACTACGGCTTGATTTTAGTTTAAAAGTGAAACATGTCCATGTTGGCCCTGCGGTGATCAAACCAATACAGAGTTGCCAATAGAATCATCAGGCATGTTCGCCCTTCTGTTTAAAATGCTTGAAGGATCTTGGTTGCACTAAGTCACCATTTCTCCTCTACCCCACACTGGCGCACTTGCTGAAAAGGCGTCTTACTGAAGAGTTGAAATGCTTTTTACAGTCGGAAAAGTCTTGGGACCCAAGATCTGACCTGATCCCTTCTCTGTACGTGTTTGAATGCGTTGAGTTGGAACTTGCACTGAAACTGGCGTCGGGGGAAGAGGAGGAGCCTGTGGAATCGGATTTCTCTTGCCCAATTAAACTACACAGAGGTAGGGCTGTTGTTCAGCAATAGTGTTCACGTTATTTCAGTAGCTGGATTTGTTAAGTAAAACTTGATCTTATCATTGGTCTCTTCTGGAGCTATTGCTTGGTGGCTAAAGCGTTGAAGTGGTGGAAAATCCATAAAGTTGTTAACAGGGTTCAGGTAACAACGTGGACACAGTTCACGTTTGTTGTGAGCCTTGTTTTTTACTACTATTTAAAAAGAGGCACTCCCTTGAAATGCTAAGAAACTGGTCTTCATGAATGTTGTAGCCATTGATGCCTGCTGTTTGTTTCATTGTTCTAGGATGCAGCGTGGTCTTGTAGACTTGCACATTTTGGCACCAACTCTTCCTATAGGTGGGAGGGAAGAAGGATCGCCATTTCCTTCCTCTGTAGAGCAGAGGGTTACTGTGGAAGGGAGTCTGAATTTTCCTGGAGCTAAACCCCAGACTAGAAGGTTGGGCTGAAAGCAGGAAGGGGGCTGGGTAGCTCCTGCAATACCAGCATTAGTGCTGAGTAGCTGAAGAGCCCCCTTGAATAGAGTGCTACATGTGGATTTTCCGTGTGTTCTAGATCTGTGGGTAATAAATGTGATCTGCTTAATTTTCAGATCCCAAATGCCCCAGTAGGTACCACTGCACACATGAAGCTGGGGTGCACAGTGTTGGGCTAACCTGGATTAATAAACTTCACAAATTCCTTGGCTCTGGTGAGTAGTTAAAGTGTCTTGTAGGAAGGAGAAGGTGTTTGCCCTTCAGGCTTCTTTCCTTTGTGGAGGTCACTGGCTGTCAGCAAACAGTCTCCAGCATCTGCATGCCTGGTATTGCCTAGGGCAGGGGTTGTCAACCAAGGGCACACATACCCCTGGGGGTACTTGGAGGCCCCAGGGGTACACGGCAGCGGCGCAAAGAAGCAGGGGTACTTGGGAAGCACTGCCGCCACCACGTGCCTGCGCTGCTCGGGCCGTCACTGCTTCACGTTTGGCCACTGCCCCCACCCTCCCTCCGCTCCATGTCCAGAAGGGGGTACCCACGAGAAGTACTCTCCTTAAAAAAGGTTGAAAACCTCTAGCCTAGGGTATGCGTATATCTCGCAGCTGCTTCTCTGTAAGTGGTCAGCAGTGCCAAACCTCATCGAGGGGAATGGTGCTGAGTGTGTTCTCTTTGCAGATGAAGAAGATAAAGACAGTTTACTAGAACTTGGAGCAGAACAGAAGTGCTTTGTAGAGCACATTCTCTGCACAAAGCCATTGCCATGCAGGTAAGAACTCACTACTATCCCTTCTCCCTTTGCCCTCCAAGTAAGTAAATGGTCTCTGAATTTACTCTTAGCTCCCCTCTAACTAAATTAAGTTACGAACTTAACCAAAATAAAAGGGGTAAGCACAAATAATTAAGCTCCTGCTGTCAGGCCCTAGTATCGTAAGGCTGAGAGTTAGGTTGGAACCAGATAGTTTCTGGTAGTGTGTGATCCCCAATCTTCCAAATGGCAAAAGTGGTAACATTGCCACCATCACGAGGGAGAGAATGTGAATGCAGTTTTGTTAATAGCAGCAACATGCATACAGCTCTTGTGGAGTGTTGAACACCAACCAGCCAACAGAAACATTTCAGGTACCCTAACTTTCAAGGTATCATTTGCTGGACAAAACCATTGTGCTGTATGATATCAGCTGCATCTTTGCATGCTGCCATGAGCTGCCTAGCTTTGTAGGCACAACAAGGCCAATTACTTATTTCCATGAGAAAAGTTGGGATTGCCAGCTGTATAGAGTACTTTTAATTAACATAGCCTTTTGTGCACTTTAACTTGTATAAGAAACATCCTAGTTTAAGACCAATGTGTTTTGCTAAGTAGATTAAAGTAGAGAAACACCACAGTCAGGTTAGAGTCTTAGTGTACTGACAAAAGCTGTTTCAGTGAATTTGCATTATAATCTCTTCTCCCCTCCAGGCAGCCTGCTCCAATTAGAGGATTCTGGATAGTCTCTGACATCTTGGGGCCTACAATGATCTGCATCACCAGCACCTATGAATGCATCACGAGGCCTCTTCTGTATGTGCTTCTTGTTTAATTGGATTAGCACTCGTGCTTTTTTTGCCTCTCTCAAACTCATGTAATGGAAACTCTACTTACCTAAATGACTTGATAGTGTCCTAGACTTGCTTTACGTAAAGCTTCTGTTCTTTGGACCATTTTGATGAGACATTTGGCAACTGGAACAATTCCAGGCTGAGCTGACACCTTTCCTTCTATGAGTTACTCCAGAGGAAGAAGTAAGATAAGGGTTCAGGAGGCATTGAGGAAGAAGAAGGATAAATCTAAAATGCCCTCAGTGCTTTTGGTGGTATTGAATTGCTTTGGTAGGGCTAAGAGAGGCATTAGCAAGGGCTTAGGGATGCTGGGTGGGGTGGAAATCAACTACATTTCATGGTAGCTTTTGCCTGGTAAAGAATCTTAAAGCACCCTACAGCCACCAAGCACCATAATTTGAGGCAGCGTAGATTTAATTGTCAGATGCTGCAGTTGGAAGCTTAGTTTGAAGCTTATGGACTTAAGCTTACATGGAGAGAAAAGGCATTCTTAGGAGAATACTGCCAAGGTACTGGGTATTAAGTAGTGCTCCCTAAAGCAACACAAGGTAAGATAAAGCTGCTTAATTTATATCATACCTTAAAAGGGGAGAAAAATTCCTGCCAGACCATTAGGTTCTGGTGGTATGTTGGTGAATCAAAATCATTCTGTTTCATGTCAAGAGACAGGCATTTCCCTAATGTTAAGAGCTTTTCCTTCTGCGCCATTTCTATCTGTGTTTTGCTCTGGCAGAAGCACAGTCCATCCAGCATCCCCACCGCTGCTCTGCACCCGGGAGGACAACGAACCAACAGTCTCGCCTCTCCGCATCCTGGCAGAATCACACCATTCATTTGAGGAGCACATCCAAAGCATCTTGCAGCGGAGCGCTGCCAACCCATTGCTTTTGAAGTACATGCAATTTCCTGTATGAGACAAAGAGGGAGGAGGGTATTTAAAAGAAGGGATCCTCTGTTTAGGGGAGGTGGGCGTCTCCAGTGGATTGAAGTCCATGTGGAGTGCCTCCCACTCTGCTCTTCTGGGAGGACTTCCTCCAGGGATTTTAAGTAGTGGGAGTGCATATAATCCAGCTGCCCTTGTTTGTTTTTAGATCTGCTGATAAAGATGCAGCTCCTCCCCCAGAAGAATGCCTGCAGCTCCTCAGCAGAGCCATCCAGGTTTTCAGGGAAGAATACATACTGAAGCAGGATCTGGCAAAGGAAGAGATCCAGCAGAGGTAAAATGGCTTCATAAAGCATTACATGTTTGAAACTTGGCCCTGTGTAATGTATTCAGGGGAAATATTATCACAGGCTTATAACGCTAGACCCTTAACTGGGTGGTCAGTCACATGAGCCCTGCAGCTGAGGATGATGTCATCTAGAGAGAGAGTGCATTTTAACACGATTGAGAATAGTTAATAAAGCTTGGCTCTAAATGTACTGGAGCTGATGGATATTAGATTAGAGCTGGGCCTCTGCTTGGCTTAGCAAAGCATTTCCCTTTGGCTGTAGGTATGCAGAATAAATCTGCCTCCATGCTTGGAGCCTTCCAATAACCTTTTGCCTATGACAAAAATGTTATTGTACCTACCCTGGAAAACTCTTCCATATCCCTTGTCCCATCGTTTTTGATCCTGCTTTTAAGCTCCTGAGTGTGGCTTCTGTTTGTTTCTCTAAATCTCTATAGAGATTTGAGTTACAGAAGAACTGGCTGTCTTGGAAGTACATTTGATTCAGCTTTACCCTTTTTTTGGCAGAGTGAAGTTACTGTGGGCCCAGAAAAAGAAACAACTGGAAGATCTTAATTACTGTCGAGAGGAAAGGTGAGTGCAGCCTGTTTATGTAGCAGTGTTATTTCAGTCAAAGCCAGCAGCTTTTATATTTGAACAGTCCTTTCTGAAGCATTCAGATTCCTAGGGTAAGCGTCTAGCTGGAACTGAATACATTTAAACCTCTGTGGACTATCATAGCAAGGTATCAGGGTCATAGGTTTCAATCCAGCCCAGTTCTTAAAGGCTTCTCGTGCCTCCTCCATATAAAACTTAATCAAGATGTTTTGCATAATCCTGAAGTAAATAGACTTTCTTGCCTAAAGGAAAAGTCTGCGGGAAATGGCCGAACGCTTGGCTGACAAGTATGAAGAAGCCAAAGAAAAACAAGAAGATATTATGAACAGGTAAGCACAAAGAGTGGCTAGTTCCCCCAGCAAATCAGATCAAAGTGTGACCCTTCAGCAGCAGCTGCAGAGTCAAAGTAACAAGCAGGTGCCAAATCTTTTAGCCTGGTATTGAAAGCCCATGGTATTAGTGGCTGCACCTAATGGATGATGACAGTGTTGAGGATAGAGAGAGCCTCTTCAGAAAACAACAGTAATGTTGACGTACATCAGACTAGCAGGCTGAAAGAACTAGACCCTAATTTGACTGAAATCTTTTAGTTAATATAATGCCTAAAGTCCCAAAAAATCCCTCATGAACCAGTCTAGTACATAGGGTAACTAACATCTATGCACTAATGTTTGTGAGTCTCTGTTAAGGATGAAGAAAGTGCTACGTAGTTTTCACACTCAGCTTCCAGTTTTGTCAGACAGCGAGAAGGAGATGAAGAAAGAATTGCAGGCAATACATGATCAGCTGCAGCAGTTGGGAAGTGCTATCAAACAGGTGAGACTGAGCTGGCACCAAGACTTGGAAGAGGCTCAAAGTGATGAACTACTATAATCTCCGTCCTTGGAGGTTTTTAAGACCTGGCTGGACAAAGCCTAGGGAGGGATGATCTAATTGGGGACAGTCCTGCTTTGAGCAGCTGGTTGGACTAGATGACCTCCTGAGGTCCCTTCCAAACCTAATCTCCTATGACAGACCAGTTGTCAGTGCTGCTCATAGGCCTAAGTTTGTGCTTGAGCTCCTGCTGCTCAGTTCCTCTACCCATCTGAAACGGTGACTCCTGAGCATACAGAAAATACTGAGGAGTCCATTACTTTGTGTGCTATTTCTAGGTGAAAATGAAAAAGGATTACCAGCAAAGAAAGATGGAAAAGGGGACCAGTCCACGACAACCTAGTATCACCCTCAGTGCCTACCAGAGTAAATGCATCCAGTCTATTCTGAAAGAAGAGTAAGTTAGTTTTCTTTTCAGGCCTGCCTCCTTGTATTCCCACCACTGATGATCCCAGTTTCTGATATGTCCAAACAACAAGGTGTTTTGGACTCCATTAGAGTAGATGTGAAGATTGATACTTAAGGATTAATACCCTCAAGAGCTGAGTTAAGTCCTTACAATTAGCTCAGGATATAATTTGATCTGTGGTACTTGAGATGCTCCCAAAACATTCTCTCTGACCAGCTAGGGCTGCTTTGGAGGCCAAGCTCTGACTTCATTTAAACATACTTTTGTGCCAATAACAGCCCAACTTGTTTAAGTACATACCAAAGTTGAGTCCCTTTTCTCTGAGCTGCTGTAATCTGTGTTGCAGGCCCACTCTATGGACTGTCACATCCTATGCTTAGTAGTTTGGAGTTAAAAATACCCCTTCTTTGTGAGCTTGCAACTGAAACAAGATTTACTCTACCCATCCCCTCATGATTTCTGCAGTCTCTAACTCAGCATTTTTCTTTTGCAGGGGAGAGCACATAAGAGAAATGGTGAAACAGATCAATGACATCAGAAGCCATGTGAATTTCTAGTGGGCCAATAAGCAGTCCCACAGCAGAAAGCCTGAAGAGTTTTAGTTTTGAGCTGTCTTGGCTCCTACTATTCCTTGCTATGTCAATTTCTCATTATTTAACAAGTGTTATATACCAGGTTTTACTCATTTTGTAAAGACTGATATTGAATAAAATGCTTTTGATAAGATTCTTTGCAGGCTAGATTTCTGCTTCTGGAGGGAAGAATATCTTGTCAAGCCCAAGTGAAGTTGTGTATGAGCTTAATATTCACAGGTAGCCTGCCAGTGTAGGCACAGCAGTATTTAGGCAGGGGAACTACACCTGCTTCAGCAAAGGCAGCTCCAGCAGCACATGCTATAAGGCACCACATTTCCCTCTTCCCAGAGCTTGGCAGGAAGCGGAGCAGAAAAACCAGCAGAGTGCACACACTTCGGCAGCTTTTTTTTCTTTTAATTTTGAACACTTTCTTCATAAGGACACACCTTCAAATACAGTTAACAAAATGGTTACATTGGAATTCTGGAGACAGCAGAATTCTACATCCACAATCGCGCAGGACACCAACGGCTTGGGTCGCTGGAATGCAGTAATAGCTTCCAAACACTCAGTTTGCCAAGATATGGCTCAGGCTGACTTAGAATTTAAAAGCCAATTGTATGGGACTGCAAATGTGGGCGATTTCTTCCCCCTCCCCTAAAACAATGATCTGGTCAAGCTAAGTTTTGAAAAGTAGTACTGCACTACTAGGACAATGGCACAATATGAAGTGCCAAAATAAAGCCTTAAGGATAGGAGGGCTGCAATTCACTGCTAGGTAACAAGGTTACCAGACATGCTGCAAAGAACACTTTTGTACAGATTAAGACTATACAAGTAGAGGGAACACTTACAAAACTTGGGGGGTTTTTCCTCTCTTACAGTCTGCACAGACCAAAGTCCCAGTTTTCTAAACCAGTAAGTATGTTTTTGCATCCTAGGTGGCGATATGACATGTTAAAGCTAATAAAAGTAAGAGATCAGAAACTGATGGTACATATAATCATCACCCTCCCCATATCAAGCCTAAAAGCTTCTCAAACTAGTTAAGGGCAGTTTCTCTCCTACACTCCCAATTACAAAGTGAGCAGCACCCCCTTACATGCCTGAGGTGGATATGTGCGCTTTATAGGGACAGGAGTCCTTTGAATGCAGTCTCCAGAAGGCTTCTCTGTGCAACTGTGCTGCAGAACAAACGAGCTGCCCCTCTCAAAGCTGTGCCTTATAGTCCTCATTTCTAAGTCACCTTCAGATATAGGGGCTCACTAGTTTGCCAACCCAGCCTTCTCCAAAGTTAATGCCCAGAAGTGCTGTCAGTCACTATTTTTCCTTTTGCCAAGCCAGCACCCTGAGCCGAGTCAGGTCTTCAAGAACTCTTGCAATGGTCATGTTTTCAGAGCCACTTTAGCCATGCTTCTCACACAGTGAAATAAACTGGAATTGGTATTGCTAGCTGAACAGCCTGCTGGTGCAAGTGCTACATTCTACTTTTAAAAGCTGAATGTAGGAGATTGGTCAAACTAGGGAATGGGAAAGCCTTTTGAAATAAAAAAGGTAAGAATGGGGAATACGTTAGTCATTCCTATCCCATGTGATAAGTTAAAGCTGGAGGTTGCTGCACTGAACTCACTACACAGAATCAAAGCAAGTACATCCATCATTCACCACCCTTTGTGCTACGTTTTCCTTTCAGTGCCCTCCCTCCATGCTCACCTGAAAATCAAAACCATAATGCAGCCTCTCAGGCTATAAAATGTAATACACCAACATGCATACTCATGCACATGTTCTTTCTGTCATTTCAACATCAGTTGCTACCAAAGCTTTGAATGATCACTAACAGATCACCCACGTACCACTTCTAGGCTACAGGAAAACATCTTGCAGCTGCAATCCAACACCACACCAATGCACAGCTACATAAAATATACTGCATGAAAGCCACATCACTCCCTATTGATCAAAGCAGTATAAACAATACTTGGTCATGAGATAAGGCTGAATGGTGGCTGTTCAATAGTAAGTATGGAGGGAGAAGATATGGCTCAGAAAAGGAGGTAGGGGAGGTTGAGAAAGGAAAGTGGCAGTGGTTTGAAGCGTGTTCCATGACTAAAAGCTGCTTTCCTTGCTTTATCCAAATAGTGGAAGGTACAAAGAGGTACCAACCTTAACTCAACTCCCAGTTTCTTGCATCAGGTTATTATTGAGTGTGTTTCTTGAAATAAAGTGTTCAATTTGCTGCAGAGCTATGTTGAAGTAGTTTAGTCCAGGTCTTGTAAAGCAGCAGGCTCCTTAATGCTCCACTGCAGAAGTTAGGTACAAGAAAGATGTTGGAGTTAGTTTAGGAGAACGGGGAACAATCTCTTGCCTTTACTGCTAATAAAGGCCCAGCAGTTCAAGTGCACATGCACACAACAGTGCATGTACGTTTTAGGAAGCTATGGGTGCTAATAAATAAGATTTGGTGTCAAAAAGTTAGCAGCGGGCAGCAGCTCCCGTCAGGCCACAATCAGCAAGGAATTCTGGCTACTTACTTGAGATGTTAGATTTCATTTTTAAGCACACTGTCAAAACATGACAGGCAACACTCTTACTGCCTGTCAGATTGGCTTATTCCTGAACTGGGTCAGGGGATGTGGGATGGTAGGGGAAATAAGTTAATAACACGGGCAAAGCATTAGCCACGTGTGCTTCATCTGGGGTTCTTTAAGGCAGTCCCCTTTTCAAAACCAATCAGTCCTTGTTTTAGTTTAGCAGAGTGGCTCTGGCTTTGGGTGGGGGTGTTTAAAGTGTGTGTATGGGGGGTGTTTAAAAGTCAGACCAAAATAGTAATTGCACGCACAAAAATTGGAGGGCATTTTCTTTCTCTAGCTTTCCCTTTACCTTGTAAATTTTACTGCTTTGGAGATTATAAAAGAGAAGCAACAGGTTAAAGCAAAAAGCATTACCCCCACTAACCTTTACACTACAAAAGCAGATCAATCCATTTAACCCCTCTTCCTCTAGGTAGGGAATTCGGTTCTAAATCAGGGGCCATGTTCAGATATTCAGGCTGCAACGCTGCTTGTAATCAACAAAGGATGGTACCTAAACCACAGCCAGCTGACCTTAGCGCATAGAATTCCACTAACTACAGGAATGTTCATGTTAAACACCATACATCTGGGTAACAAGAAACCCATGCCAACACTTGGAGACTCACAACATGGTCATCCTTCTGCTGTCTGCTGTTGTGTTGCATAGCGTTACTTGAACGTATAATTACAGAAACAAGTAACAGTGTGGTTTAGGAGTATTTCCTTTGCTTTAAGCAATACCAGGCTGCCATATTGGTAACAGATGCACTGGACTTTTGAAACCTGAACCTACACAATACAGCTCACGCTGCATTTGTAGTCCGATACAGAATGTAACTGGTGTTTCATGTAGCATTCACCTAACTTGCATGGGGGGGGGGGAGAAAGGGGGGGGCAGGGAAATCAGGCTATTTTAAAGCACAATCTTCTGCCCTTTTTACAAAGTTGTATAAAAGCTAGTAGTTCATGCATGGTGCTGTGCACTGCAGTGGAGAAGAGTTGTGTAAAGCTCACTGCACTGACAGTGCACAGAATTTTCCTACTAATCTTACCACTTACAAGGGACTAGTAAAATTGTTCAGGTTTAGAGTTAAAAAAGCATCTGCTGACTTAACTCTGTACAAAGAGGTACCAAACAGTGCAGTTGTTGTGCTTTTCTTGAACCCCAGAATTTAACGTGGAATTCAAAGGAACTGAATGTCTCATTACTCATTCATTTTTTTGGATTAGCTTTTTACCTGCTCATGAGATATGCAGCTCACTCATAGTCATCACATTTCAACAGTATTCAGATTCTTCAGCACAAGGGCAATGGTTAAAAAAAAAACCCAAAAACCAAAAAAAGCACTGAGTTTGGAAAGAAAATCAATATCCAGTGTCCTGCTAATAAATTCATATTTTAATATAAAATATTCATACAGCATACTACACTTCATTCTCTCTGCTAGCGGAATACTGTTACTGACTATTCAAACAGAAAATTGTCAACCACTCTGCTCTTCAAGGAGTTTTGAGGGACATTATGGTTTCCAGCAGCTATTCTGATCACAGTATTTTGGGAGAGGGGAATAGGTTCCAGAAATCTACATTAGGTTAGAGAAGTTGGCCAAAAGGGAAAAGTTTTTCAGGATGTGAGGACTGATCCCACTTACAGTGGAACACAAACACTGCACCCATTAGTGTTCCCATTAGAGAGTTCTCTTCTAGCCTGCAATCTCCCTGGTGCTCTCTTCCTGCCCTGTACAAAACCTTTTCCCCTCGAGAAACAACTCAGTCATTGCTCCCCTCTGTTGTCTTCTGCTCTTTCAGTTAGAGTTAAATAATAATTAATGTTGCTATAAAGATGAGTTAAAAACCCCAGACGCAGCCTCGGAGCTCTGCCCCTCAGGGTGTCATGTTTCAGGAAGCTGATTAATGTCTGTCAGTTTTGTGTCATTCAGGATCGCCCGGATTCTCTCCAAGGAATCTGCCTGCCGGATCCGTTCCAACTGCACCTAAGAAAACAACAAATACAATATGTCCAATACGGTGCATCTGGAACCACAGAGCAACAGAGCTTGGTTCTACCCCAGCTATTCCTTTCCATCATGCACAGATGATGCCCATCCAGAGCTGCCACTGGCATGGAAGAAAGGAAATAGCCCTTCCTAGTTTGCACACTCCTCTTGACAAAGCAAATGGCTATGGGGCTGAAATGTCACTGTCCAGCCACAAGAAGAAGAGATCAGATATGACAAACAATTACTCATACAAACAAAGCTTGGGTCTGGAAAAAAAAGACAGCAGCCTGTGACAGTAACACCAATTTGTTGTCACTAGGTCTTTATTGAGCTTCATGCATTTTTGGAAAGAGCATCTCATCTTCCAAGTGCTGGGCAATTTTTTCCACTATGGGTATTTTTCAACTACTGATCCAAACCCGCCTTTGAAAAAGATGACAAGCAATGATTGCAGTGAAAATAGTAATTTAACTGTCTTATGCCTGTGCTACCTACCACCTCAGCAGCAGAAGAAAGCGCTGACAGCCTTCTCTGCTCACCCACATGGACCATCTGCAAACAAGCTGAGATTCTTGAGACTGTTTACTAGTTAAACTAGAAAACTTGTTTCATGTTTTCAAAGTCTGAATTTTAAATAACTTTAATGAGCTGTACGGCCAAACTTTAGATGTACCTCGAAAAAGGCTTTGAACCGCACTCGGCTGCATAATGTAGTAACCTAAAATCCCCGGATATTGAAATTCCTTCCTTCTGCTGTCTCATGATACCTTCTTAGGATCAAAGGACTTGGCAGTAGGGATAAGACTATCCTGCACTACGACTGTAGCTTAAAAGCAGCAAACTCACCAACTAAAGGAGCCATCCCATGGATTTAGAGCAAATGGTGCAAGTCCCTGCCTTCACATCCCCCCTTCTGAATTACACTGTATCACTAAGACTCAAAGTCATATACTGAAGGAACTGATTGAGAAGGACACTATAGGGTTCTGAGTAAGAGCTTAATCTGGTTCTAAAACAGGTGGAATATTCCTGGTTTATACTAGTAATGCTTTATTATTCATAAAAACACCTATCAACGAGTTTATAGCCCCAGCTCTTATGCTGCACAGGCTTCCTGCTACAGAGGTAGCAGAACATATACAGGCATTAGCAAATATAATACTTGGAAATGGACTGATTTTATCTCCCTTACCTGAAGGGTCTGAGAAAGCTTTACAAAGTCTCTCTGTACTTGCTCACTGACATCTAATTCAGTCTGCAACCGCTGAGCTTTATTCTTCTCTTCAAACATCAGCTGCTCAAGGTTAGCCTAGAAAAAAATTAGTTCCTGATGTGTATTCACAGAGAAGTGGAGCATGTACAGACTCCCAAATAAAGTATGAGCTGAGAAGTAGAAAACCTAGGTAGTACCACACAGGCACTGCATGAAAGAGGATCCCCTCCCTGGGCCTTGTTTTTCCCATCTATGAACAGGAGAATCTCAATTATCTGAAGTCTCAGGGGCTCAAACTGAGGGCTTGATTAAATTAGAGCTGTTTGTATATTAAGAAACTCTGTATTGAAGTCTATCAGAAGAGACAGTAGCCTTACAGTTTTAAGTCACTATAGTTTAGATTACTGACTATTCCCTACTGCTTTCCCAAATACAATTTTACAGTAACTTGGAATGGGGCTTTCAACAACTGTGCTAGGCAGACTACCGCATTGCCAGGACACCTTTTGACTTTCAGAGAATTCTTCTTGTGTTGTCCCTGTGAGGACTACTTTGTTTGACTGCCACACTGATCTTCCAAGACTAACATGCACAAGACAGCTTGCCTTTGAAAATCTGGTTACCTTAACACACGCACACAACATAGATTCTACCTTTGCAGCAGTTTCCTTCTTCAGATGCTCTTCCCAAGTTTTGTTCATTTCCTGAAGACTCTCCAGCTGCTGTGTTTTCTCCTGCAAGGTGTTCTCCAACTGTAAAATCAAAGAGGACAACAGGGTTTTTCATCAGTTCATTTTTCACAACTGACATGCATTCAGCACACTACCATGAAGCAATTGGTATAAATGCCTTTAGCCTTTATAAATGTGCAGAAACACCAACATTAAACCATGTCACTTATACTTTTCTTCCCTGAAACTGGAAGGAAAGGCGGTGCCTAACAGTGTTTAGCTTAAACATTAGTTAAAGAATAAATATTTTAGGGAAAAGGGTCAACTACTAAGGTGTCAAAATGTTACACTGTTCCCAGCATTATAATTTGCCCTTCCAAACTTCAAATACCTTCTTTTAAAACCATGCTGGTCTTTACAAGACAGAAGTATGTAAGCTCACAACTTGCAGTAAGGCTTTTATCAAACTGATACAAAGGAACAGAGTAGTTAACAACTTTAAAGTTATCCAGTTAGGTTTATAACTGCTTGTGTACTTCCTTACATTAGGCCAACTAGTTAGTCTCCTTGTACAGAGTCCTTCTACATACATGCATAAAAATGTTGCTAGTGACAACTCAAAGGCAACAAGAAAAAACAAGTTTATCTTTTCTGATATGAAGGAGACAGATGCTCATACCAGTTCAGAGCCAAGGAGAACTTGTTACCCTGTTATCAGACTCCTCAAGATTCTCTTTCCTGCACATTATACAGAAAGTTAAAATTCCTATATTTAAGCTTGTAAAACTCTTACAAATTGATCACATTGACTCCTCACCTGTTCCTTTTCCACTTTTATTCTGTCCAGTTCAGCTCGCAGACTGAAAATGGAAGCTGTAAAACAAAGCAAAACAAGCTTCATCACTGCACTGGCTTCTTCAGGTTTTAAGACCCAGTTGTTATCTATCAATGGTTTAACAAAAAAATCTAAAAATATTGTGTCCTAGCAAGTGTGCCTACAAACCCATATACATATAGGCCCCAACCCGGAATCTGACTGTTCACTGAGCACATTACCATTCTGCCTATTATGAAGCTCTTCTTTTTCAACAAATAACCCTGGCTGTCTCTTCAGCAGGTAAATAGTCTCTTAAGGCAGGTATCAAAATTGCCATTATCGCTATTCCTGCTCAGTAGCCATGGGGTGAACTTCTCCCCCTCAGCCTGTTCCATTTTATCCATGTTGTTATACTAAGCCCGTCTGAAACAGTTACATGTTCAGGAAGAAACATCTCCCTTCATTTGAATGTTTAAACATCACTCTCTCGGGACATGAACCACTATTATTAAAAGATCATTAGTATTATAAAGTTAATCTACTGTGATTTTAATAAAATGTGTCCTTCTTCAGAAGCCTTAGGGCTCTGTTTTATAATGGTGGTTTACTACAGCCTCTTTTTCCCCCTTTCTACATGTCCTGGCTGAAGCTTTTTATCAATGCAGACTCCTGGACAGATCTGAAAGCGTAAGTAACAATGTTGTGACAAAAATGAAGTACACCCAAATCTACTTGAGCTAGCCCTGTCAGCGCACAGTACTTTCAGCTCCGACTGTTACATTTACCTTGCTGACATCTGGAAGATCTGAGGAAAATCAGCTACTCTTCCAAGAGCAGGACTCACAGCTTCCACCAACCTGGGCAGCCTAAGTTACCCTCCCTGCACCCACCTTGCAGCTTGTCCTACTTCCAATCAAGTACCCAGCTGTCCGCAGTCTCAGTGAACTTGAGCAATGTGCAAAACTATTACTTTATCTCATCTCCCATTTTCCTATGATTTTCCCCTTTTACTTTTCAAAGATATGGGGGGATAAACAACTTATTTCATTCTTATGAGCGCTACTTTGAAGGGAGACTTAAAGTTTTTCTCTTTGTTTGTAAAACTAAAAGCAGAAAAGATAAAAGGTAGCAAAAGTAATCTCAGGACAGAAAGCAGAATTCTGTTTTGCTTTTTTTCTTGTTTGCATTTTATCTCCTACTGCAAAATCTTTGAGATACAAACCTGTAGTAACACACAAAGTCAACAACTGCACCTGTGTTTAATTCCTATAGGCACTTCTGTTCTAATCATTTAGACAAACCTATACAAAGCAGCTTCTATTCTTTTTAACATCGCCTTGTTTGCTATTCACCTGTCTGCAGGATTCTCATTCCCCTTCACAAGTGTGATGACCCTCAGGAGCTAAAGCAAGTAAAAGTTGTATTGCTGAAGTCTAAATGAGATACTGCTCTCTCCCCCACTAAATTACCCTGGTAGTTTTCCTGGCAACAAACTAATGGGTGACCTAGTTCAACAAATTCATGCCTTAAATTCACATTTATGTATTACACAGACTGAAAAGAACCTGTGAACTCCCACATAACACAGGAAAGTGGTATCACCACAGTTTTCCATATATATTTAAGTAAAACAACTACACTAAACTAAGAAACATACCTCAATGCAAGAAAAAAAGAGGAACCACCCAGTTCCTGTTTACTACTTTTAACTGCCCTTAAGTATCAGGTCTATGGTACACCAGAAGCTACTACAGCCATATTTATAAGAAAAATCTTACAATACACAGCCACGTTTGTCAACTGAAGGGCACTCTCAGATGCACACTTTTGTGCGTTTTCTATAAGCATGTCAAGTGTGCATGCTGTATTAACATCTTATGAAGAAAATGTGGATACCTTGTACTTGTTACCCCTAAAACCAAAATCCTAAAGTGCCTTCCATTTTCCAACAGCAATCCTCTTTTGGGAGTAATTTTTCCTCTCTCACCTATTTCCTCTTTGCAATTCTCTATTTCCATCTGTAAAGTTTCTTCTATAGTTTCCTTCAAACATTGTTCAGCTCGAATCTGTTCTTTTAAGAATAAGATTTCTGCCTTAAGTCTTTCTTCAAGGTGCTCTGCTGCAGTCCGTACACTAATGATGTCCTCACGGTATTTTAATAGCAATTTACGGAGTTCCTAAATGGAAGATTAACGAGAAGTTATTTAACAACAATATTTTCCTATATGCAAAGATACACACTCAGGCAAAAGACAGAGATGATAACTTGTTTTATCTCCATAACTTCTCTGTATTCTGCCTCAGCTTCTCAATTGACTCCTAAATTTTTTTAATGATTCAGCAAACCATTTGTCTGAAAAGCAAATAAAATGTTTGCAAAAAACTTTATCTTCTCTTTGTATCTGCCTACTGTTACTCTGACACCCTTGAGTATGAGGAAGGGATATCTAGTGACAACTGAGATCTACTACTCCTCAATGCTGAGGATTATGGCTCATTCTTAACCTTCAATCACTCCTATGCTTAGTTTACATTCACAAGTGGGATTATATGTATATCTGAACAACAGTCCGCAGGGGCAAAGGCTTTAAAATTTAGGCTACAACAGGTTCTACAACTTTACCAAGATTTTAGGTACCACACACATTTATTTCATTTTTTTTCCTGTATAGTCTTCTAACAATTTTAAAATCATTACCTCCATGGATTCTGGCAGAATGAAGTCTTCTGCATTCTGTAAAGACTCATGCAAGCTATGCTTTCCTTGAAGGCTTTCATTATCTTTCTGTAATCTCACCAACTCCTCCGAGACCTCCTCCCTTGACTGTGTCAGGACAGCCTTCAATGTAAAGAGAAGAGCACAAAATTATGACCTAAAAACTGTGCTTGGGTCTATTCGTATCCAATTGATCATTGTGCTTCCAGTGCTTTAGAAAGGCAGGACAAATTACATTTTTTGAGAAAAAAGGGCAAAAAGGTGGCAATATGGATCATCTCCCTCTGTTTAGCTTTAGTAATTTCAGTATTAGTAAAAAGCAGAAGTAAAAAAAAAAAAAATCAAACTTAAGAGCACAATAATAAGCAAGAGAGTAGGCTATAACTACATCACAACCATGTATCTGCCAATTTTCTTGACTTTAACTGATAAATTGCATGTGTCTCTCAATTCAGTTTTTCAAATCGTAGGTGGAACTGTCAGCAGAGTCTAATAAGATCAATAAGACCTTGTTTTAAGTGGATCCCAAGACTTAAACCAAGGGGTGTCAAAGACAGAGCCCACAGAACACTATGATCCTGCCCACAGTGCTGCCTGACACTCTTGGACTGGCCTCATGGGCTGCAGGCAGCCCATGCGCTGGCTTCGATCCTGTGTGCTGTATGTATGTGCCAAAAAGGCTCTGGGCTGGTCCAGGCACATGTTAGAGGCAACATGAGGGGCTGCCCTACAGTGCACACTGAATGCGGCACCCAGGCCTGATTGACCTTAGATTTATGGCCTACTTGGCATGCCTACCCCAGGCTGTAGGCTCAATCTGTCCTGCAGACTGACCCCGTGCCCCTCACCTGTCTCATAGGGCCAGATAAGTTTGATGCCCCTGACTTAAGCCATCTGGGCTGAAATTTTCCATGTCACACTGGTCCCAGGCTCACACTTTTAGTAAAAATTTCAGCTGAAATAGTCAAGCAATTTCCAAGACTGAGGTTACCAGGAAGATGCACTGCCTGTGACCTTTTCTCTCAAAAGCTCTCATGCCTAGGTTTTTTGCCACAGGACCTAGACATTTGGCAGGGGGGACCTCTGTTTCACTGATACTTTTGCCTTCTTGAAAATCTACCCAAACTCAGCCAAGTTTTAAGCCTTTGAAAACTATTGTTTGCAGAGGCTTGGAACAGACTTGCTAGACTGTCAGAGTTAAGATCACCATATTCCACCTCTGCTACGCACACTCCAGTGCAGGGCTGAGAAGGACTTTCCTTGAAATTGCAGCTCTGGGTTGCTGCAGGCTATGCTGGGTCCAGGTACTGAATCTGAGAACTGGCAGCCAGTCTCTCCTATTCTCTCAGTGCTTATACTGTTGATGTGCAAGGAGTCTGGAAGAAGCAGCCCAATTCAAACAAAGAACCGGGTCCTTCTCAACCTGGAAGGACGTGGGAAGTGGGGTCCCACAGGGCTCGGTCCTTGGGCCCGCCCTGCTCAACATCTTCATCAGTGATTTGGATGAGGGGGTGCAAAGCACCCTGTTCAAGTTTGCTGATGACACTAAGATGTGGGGGGGATGTGGGCACAATAGAGGCTACAGTTGGACCTAGATAGGTTACAAGGATGGGCAGAGGAGAATAGGATGGGGTTTAACACAGACAAGTGTAAGGTGATGCACCTGGGGAGGAACAATCGGCACCATACATACAGGCTGGGGAACTCCCCTCTTGTCAGCACGGAGGTGGAAAAGGATCTGGGAGTCATTATTGACTCCAAGATGAACATGAGTCGGCAATGTGGGGAGGCGGCTAGGAAGGCCAACTGCACCTTGTCGTGCATCCACAGATGCATCTCGAGCAGGTCCAAGGAGGTGATCCTCCCCCTCTATGCGGCACTGGTCAGGCCGCAGCTGGAGTACTGCGTCCAGTTCTGGGCGCCGCACTTTAAGAGGGATGTGGACAGCATCGAGAGGGTCCAGAGGAGGGCCACTCGTATGATCAAGGGACAGCAGGGTAGGTCCTATGAGGAAAGGTTGCGGGACCTGAACCTGTTCAGCCTTCAAAAGAGAAGGCTGAGGGGGGATCTTGTGGCCTGTTATAAACTGGTTAGGGGGGATCAGCAGGCGCTGGGGGAGTCCCTGTTCCCCCGAGCGCCGCAAGGAGTGACCAGAAACAACGGTCACAAGCTGGCGGAGGGAAGATTTAAGTTGGACATCAGGAGGCGCTACTTCACGGTCAGGACGGCTAGGGTCTGGAACCAGCTTCCAAGTGAGGTGGTGCAGGCTCCCACCCTGGGGGTTTTTAAGAGGAGGTTGGATGACCACCTTACTGGGGTCGTTTGACCCCAGTACTCTTCCCTGCCATGGCAGGGGGTCGGACTAGATGATCTGCTCAGGTCCCTTCCGACCCTAGGAAGTATGAAACTGCAACTGGCTTCTACCCCAGTCTACTTACCATGCCAGAGAAGGGTTGGGGAAGCAGACCGGATCAAGAACCTGGGGACAGACATAGCCAGTAGGAATGAAAGAGTAGGAGTATGGCAACTGAGGCCAGAGGGCAGCAGAGAGACTGGATGAAAAGCTAGGGAAAAAAGGGCAGGGCAGGAACTGACTGGGTGAAAGAGACTGGATCTGATATGAGAAACCTGTGTAGTGAAGACTGGGACTGTCCTGGTGAGACAAATAGTACTGAGAAGAGAAGCCAGGGGTATAAGTGAACAGACACAACAAAGCAAAAGGGTGCCAAGCATGGGGGTGATAAGGAGAGGCAGAAGAATATGTCCAGTAGAGCACATTCTCCTTTAGAGCCTGAAATAAAACCCAAGATTTCAGTCTCACCACTCTGCTGCTGACAGCAGATATCTGTGAAAACCACTGACAAAGTGAGTTAAGCCCCCATCTGATGGTCCATGTAGAGGGTGAGAAATCTACTACTTGTATCAGTTACTCCATTTGCTCAAGTGGCAGAGGTCTGTGTGGTGGCTCCAAAAGGTTTAACACCATGCTGATAAAACCATGTGGTTGCTGACAGGATGTCGCATGATGGGACTGTTTTTCAGTTTGCTTATTAAAAACCTAGGAAGTTGCACACAAAAAAACACTATATTAAGATATTATTAACAGTGCCAAATCAAACCTGCAAGATAGGAAATGCCCGAATTAAGGTTTCCTGTGCAAATTCACTGCATATGCACATACAGGCCACATTGCGATATAATGTTTTATCACATGAATAATTTTTTCCAAAGGACCCTCTCTCATTCAGGTCACAGGATGAACCTGCGGTGAGGATGAATTAGAGCTGTAATGGGAAGGAAACTTATCTGTAAAACTCTGGCTTTATTTATTTAAAAGGCTGGAAGGTGGCAGGAGAGGATGGACTCTTGGCTGAAGTTGCAGAAAGCTTTCCCAAGGAACTAGATTTTATCCCTACTTTCTGCTACTGATGTTCTATATAATTTTAGTCAAGTCGTTTAAACCCAATGTTTCATCAGTGGTCATTAATTTATATATTCCTTGTTTGCTGGGTGCCAGGTTGGATAGCATGAAGTCAAATTGGGAGAAGTGCCAAGCAGTCAATTAAAACTGAAGTCACAGGGAACTGTGAATGCTAACTAATACTTAACCCTTAGTTAGTAGTAGGTAACCCTTGGTACAGGTGGTGCCAGAGCATGGCATGCAAAAAAGCATTTTGCTTGGCTCATGTGCCTTGGGGCAGATGGTGGGGAAGGGGCTGGGGCTGCACTGCCACAGCAAGGATTGAGCCCCTTGAAGTTCCCCCACAGTCCATGCCCTTGGCACACCAACATTTTACAAGTTGAGGTTGTGGGCGTTTTTGGCACTTTGCCCAAAAACGTTGCTGACTCCTGTTCTATGTTATGTCTCATCTCTGGGAGAGGGGAAATATCAGTCACTAAGTATCTCACATCCAGCACCTGAAGTATGTTGACCCATTTGACTTTGACCTCACTGCCTCAGTTCCTCATTCATTTCCTTGTTGCCTGTGGGCATTGTAAAAATATACTCATTAACACTGGTAAACTACTGTGAAACTACAGTAATTAATACCACAAAAGCCCAGGAGAAAATTAATTCCGTTTCTGGAGCTGAGTCAGAATAGTACCTGGTAAATATGACAACACACCAAACTGCTACTGCTAAGCACGCACCTGTACGAAGTGTAGGGTACACTTCATACAGCTGGGCAAAGAATACAGACTCATATAGTTAATGACTATTATACTGAGGTGGCAAAGGCAACCTTATTTCTGAGATTCCTTAATCTCGCTAGTGCTCGACTTTGCAACCTTAACAATGTTCTTTTAACATAGTTTTGTGTGCGTATTCTGTTCACTGCATGCATTTTACTATTTATGGTAGCTTCAGTAAAAAAATAATCTTTTTTTCTGAAAACAAGTTCCATCATGCTGCTGCAGGTCATGGACCTGTCCTCCTTATAACTGCTGAGTGCAACAGGTCCGTTCCCCAGCATACCATGTATATGGAAAAGAGGTCAATCCCTAGCTCCAGCAGTTTGGAGAGAGTAACAGACCAGGAACCCCTGATCCAGAACTTCTGGCAAAACTGCATCAGTTAAAATGGCTTCTTAGAAAGGTGGAGAGGGAAAAAATGGCAGAGTGGGGAAGGATGACACCTACAAGCAGGCTCTCCCTGCTACATGGTGACAAGTACACACAGTATGGCAGCACAGAACCTGGAAAGGCTTGTAAATACTATAGGCTTCATACCTCTTTTTTAATTAAATATACCCACATGTAAAAACCATGGTTATCTTATCTTAGCAGGATGTGCTAAACAGCAAGAAACAGACAAAACACTGGTCACTTAATCAAGTCCACAGTGCATCATGCAGCACTTTTGAAGTGAAATTTAAGATTAAAGTTTCTTTACCATTTGCTCCTGAACGCTTCTCTTTGCATGGGAAAATGCCTGATGTAATTCACGGAGTAAAGTCTCAGACTCTTGACATCTAACAAGAAGTGAAGAGATCTTCAGGGGGAGGGGGGAAAAAAACAAAACAGATCAAACACATAAGGATACACTTCATAGTTAAAGCAAAGTAAAACAGTTTTTAAAAGCACCGAAGCATTCCCTTTCTCTCATACCTCACATATATTTTATACATTGCAGCTTTGTATTTATTGAAAACAACTTTTTTTGGTGTATTGGCAAATAAATCATGATTTCACCATAAGAGAGACTATAATTCAATCTGATCAGTTAAAATTAATAAGACTCTGTATTTGTATACGATTTATATATTAATCTTTTATTGAAAACTAACAATGAAACAGTAGCCAATTCTGGTCACCTCAAATACAGACATTTCAGACTTTGGCAGAAAAGACAAAAGAAACCAAAGAGCTAAAGAAAAAAATAAAACAATGAAAAGAACAAGTTCAGTGGAAATACTGCAAAAAGGGTTTTTAAATGTATTTAATTACTAATCCAGAAAATTTCCTCTGAAATTGCCTACTATGCTCACTGGGCATGGCCAGAGGAGCGTGGATGTGCGGTATGTGGTTCAGCAGACCTGTCTGCGGTGCCACACACTGCACATGCAGGTATTCCCTGTGCTGCTACTTTGCCAAAAACAGTGGGGTGGCGCATGTGGCAGCAGCATGTGCCTGTCAAAACTGGAGTCTGGCCAGCTGTAGCCACACTCTGGAGGCTGGCCAGGCTCCCTGCTGCAGAAGCACCATGGCTGCAGCTCCCAGAGCCCCAGGTAAGGCTACTGGGACAGCATAGCTGATGGCCCCAGCCTCCATTACCACACCTTGGGTAACCTGGCACGTGCCAGAGTGTGCGTGGCATGAGCATTCACCAGGGACAAGCAGCAGTAGCACAAGGGAAACTCACATTCCTGCTTGTGGGGATGTGCCCATTGGGTGTATCTACACGTGTTTTACTGTGGAGTAGACCAATTAGCTCCACAGTAAAGTGTCACTGGCTACACGTGCACCTGTATTAGGGCACAATAAACTAATTAACTCTGCTGTAAGATAGTACTGTCCAGAACAAGTACTATCCTATAGCGGAATAGTTACGAGTGCCAAGAAAAAACCACACGTAGACAATGACAGTAGCTGGTTGAGGCATGAGGGTACTACAGTGCAGGGGCTGCCTGCTGGCTAGCCCTACACTGTAGCACCCTTATGACCCAACCAGCTCCTCCACAGGATGCTGAGCTGGGGCTGAGCAGCCCCGGGCTGGCAGGCCGACACCCAGGCTTCCTGCAAACTGGGGCTCCTCCACCTTGGCTCAATGTGCTGTGGTCTTGGGCATACATGTAAATGCTGTGCCCGGGAGTAATAAACTCTGGTGCAAACTGTGCCAGAGGTTTTTGTTACGTGCTAATTGCATGTGTAGATGCACCCACTGTTTCTATAATATTACACCACAAAAAAAAAAAAAAAAAAAAAAAAAAAAAAAAAAAAAAAAAAAAAAAAAAAAAAAAAAAAAATCAAATGGCTCATGGGTTGCAGTATGTTACTATACATAAGTGTTTTCAAAAGGCTGTACATTGCAGGATTAATTATCCTTTATTACTTTATCTGTGGTAGCATCTAGTGGTCCATGCTACATCAGGACCCCTTGTGCTAGGGACGGTAAAAACAAAACATAAATAAAATATTCTCAGATTGCAAGCTTCCCACTAAAGGCTCCTGCTCTCAAGGCTCAGAAAAAAAGAGGCATGTACTTTGATTGACCATAATCTATTCCCATCCACTCAGATGCATAGTAAATGTTTGTCTCCACCTTCACTCAGCCTGTCAAATGTTGGCAAGGTAAAATAGTATGTAGGAGATTACCCAGAAAAAAGTTAAGTGCACAATTAATGTCACGTTCCTATGTTTGATTCATTACTTCTGAGACTGAAATACTACTCATCGAATCTAATCATTAAAATTTAGAACTGATTTTTTGCAAGAATACTTGAAAAGGAACACCTGATCTAGCATCAAAATGTTCCAGTCTAATGAGATACAAAAATAATCCCAGGTAACTGTAAAACAGATGTGCATAGATACTTACAGCACACAGCATAAATACAGCCATATCCCCAGCTGGAATGGGTCTTAAACCCCCTTTTGAAGAGAGCATTTAATAAGCTTGTTCACCAAATTGTTTCTGTTACAATTAGAGTGTCTTTACTGAGCAAAGAACTCAGAAATGGATGATAGATTAAGCCAACTTGAAAAATAAACTTGTTCTGTCAAAGTGATAGCTGACTTTTTGGCATTCTGTTTTAAGAAATGGTCTGAATGTTGAATTACCATGGGGAGAGAGACAGAACTAACAGAAGGCTCCAAGAACAAGGAGCACTGGAAAGAAGCCAGTCATAATTAAGTGGGCTCAGAGAGGGAACTTTCAAGCCAAAATGGGTAACAGATGAGAGTAACAATATATGCCAGATGCTTGTGTAAGGAGTTTGACAGGATGTCAGTTCACTGGAGTACAGAGTACAACCCGTGTGCAATTTTTCACTTCAACAGCTCTAGGGTAGAGCAGGGGTTCTCAAACTTTGTGGTACCGTGACCCGGAGTGATGGATGGTGGCGGTGGGGAGCTTGCACATGGCAACCGCCGCTGTCATCCACCATTCTACGCTGCCGCAGTGCATCGCTTCTCTGCGCCACTGCACGTACCTCCTGGGAAGTTTGTGGCCCCCTTTTAAATTGCTCATGACCCCCCAGGGAGTCTTGACCCACAGTCTGAGAACCCCTAGAGTAGAGAGTCCGCATGGTTCCTAAATCTTTAAAAACTTTAATTATCTTGGAAAACACAAAAATAATGTTCCTTTGGAAGAATCTCTTTCTTTATTGAACTGAGCTTGTTCATACCTGATTAGAAGAGTCTTCAGCACTTTGCTTCATGTAATCCTCCAACTCCTGTTTATCTTTCATTGTTTTCTCCAATTGGTCATTAGCCTGCCTCAGCATCACCTGCAGCTTTTTCACCTACATGGTTTGAACAAAAGAAATGATGCAGCTTTCCTTTTAAAGAGTATAAAAACATTCTGAGTTTAGCATTAAGAGTCACAAAAGTCCCTTTGTTGTTCTGAGAAACACCATGCATCACTGATTAGCCCCATAATGGAATGCAGAACACTAGACTGCAGTAGATCCCTATTTCTTTCATATTACTCAGAAGAGAAGAAAGATGGCCTGTAACAATTCAAGACCTGTTCTTCTTTAGTACACAGGTCCAGTGACCCTATATACTTTGCAGGGCATAAAAATTAAAATAGCAACTGTTTTGCTTTCTGAAGAAAGTCACTAGAATTTCAAAACATCAAATGCTTTTCTACCAAATAGGTACAGAAGGCTATTTAATCCATACTCTTCTCCCTCCCCCAACCTTGTTTTTTCTTTTTGCCAGTCATAAGGTCTTTTGTTGCAAGGCTACATAAACCCCAGCAACACAGCATGTAATTGTAGGAACTGTCTGAGAAATATGCATAAGTGAGGGCAAATGATTTCACACACCCAAAGTAGCAAGTCAGATTATGGCAGTAAATTGAAGCAAATTTCCCAGAATGTGAAGTAGGTTAACTTCCCAAAGCTAAAACCAGATGATTACAAGTGCAGATGGTTAATTGTTACATTCTTGGTAGCTTCTACAGCTACAAAGTCTGACTACAGACAAACAAAAAGCCCCACCTGATCTCTTGTCTCAGCTTCCTGAATCTGGATACCTTGCAACTGCTTCTCGTAATTCGAGCACATATCGCAGCGTCTACCCAGCTTGTTTCCTGCATTCTGCACCTGGGGAACAAAGTTATCACTTGCCACAAAGACTACTGAACTCTATAAAGGAACATGCAAGCAAGCGGTATAGATATTCAGGCACGTTGTGTGATCCGAGAAGGTTACTGTCAATAAGAGACAGTGGCAGAAGTTAGGTGGCAGCAGGCTGAAGTTTTTTTGCTTAAATAACAATATAAATTCTAGATGTCATATGTTAGGATTTCCTGGCACAAAACCCACTGCCAAAGTAAGAGAGAAGCTCAGATATGCAAGAGGTTATCATGTCATTCAACATTTGAATGACATTTGTTTTCATGCTCATAATTAGGTACCATTTCAGAGTAAAGAGGCATCAGTCAGCGAGCAAGAATTCAACAAGCTATAGCATTTTTCCACATAATTAAATGTTATTACAAATTAAACAATGTAGGAGACAGCCCTCAGTAGTTGGTCATTTTAACTTTAAAATGATCTATTAAATTGAACACATTCAACTCTGTTAGCCAATATGTAGGCATATTCTACAGCTAACTAAAAAGATTTTTATTTGAGGCAAGAACAGTGATATAGTAGCAATTTGGGAAGCAGACACATTGTACACTGGAATATTTGGGAGTTATAGCTCACTAATGAGTGATGACACATCTGTGAAAAGACATGTCAATCTGTTCATACTCTTCTCAGTCTTTAACCATATATACACACTAATAGTGTTAAAGAGGTCAGGTCACTATATAGTTTGAGGATACTGATCTTCACAGATCACGTGATTTTCTCTTCTACAAGCACACTGGACTACTGGCTACTGCAAGTACAGATTTACAGGCACAATTCAACCAATGTCAGAGCTGTCACTTATAACGATGCATTTACAGAGTGATATCAACTCAACCTCTTAAGGAGCAGTTCCACCGTATTCAGAGCTAGAGGAACAGGCACTGAATGTGTGGTGAGGGCATCAGTTTCACTACTGCAACAGAAGGTATCTAGGGGTGCAGCAGACTGAGGATATAAACGACTGAGATATGAAAAGTCTTCCATAAGAAGGGATTAAACTGCCAGTCTTTTCAGAGAGGAAGCCAAAAGGAGATATGGCAGCAGTATACAAGATAATTGATAGAAACATGAATAAAAACGCATTTACTTTTTACCATCTTGTACCATCTACACTTTTCCCAAAGCCTGACAAAGGGACTTTGATCCCGAAAGCTTGCAGAAAAGGACAATTTTCTTGCCATTTTCCAGCTGGTCTAATAAAAGGTATCATTTTGGAACCAAGAGTTCTAGTTTTTTGTGTGCCTTTTTGTCTCAGACTAACACAGCTACCAAGTACACCCCTTTACATCAGCTTATATTTGCCGCACAGTAAATGGGAATAGGTCGATGTCTGCATGTGCAGGCATTAAGGCACATTAACACTGTGTGGACTGACCTGGGACTGAAAATTAGTTCCAAGTCAGTCCACACATACAGTGCTACTGTGCAATAAGGCATCTTCACATGTGTTACCATGCAGTAACTAATTAGTAGAGGTGCACTGGTCCAATATTGAATCAGCACCGATATAAAGAAAATTGGCTGAATCAGAAATCAGCTCAACGTGGCTGATAATTTGGCTGACAAATGCCCGTGTGTGCCTGTAGCCGCAGCGCAGCATGCAGACAGCAAGGAGCACAGCCTGGCAGTGTGGAGAGCTAC